GATCCCCCGAATAGCCATCACCTCCCTCCTCAACCATAGCCGGCCCCGACGCGCCCCCCCGATCAACCTCCGACTTCTCCCTCGACCACTACACACCACCAGCCCACCCCATCACCCAAAACCACCCCCCAAAGCCTCCCACCTCGCCAGCCTCCTCCTAACCACCTCCCTCCTCCTCACCCTCCCTCTCCTATCCAAATCCGAAACCTCCTCCCTCGACCCTTCCCCCTCCCCCTCCCTCCCGCTCTACCACCTCTCCGAAATCCACCAGTCTCACGGTCCCACCTCCCCCGAACCATGGGTAACCCTCAACAACAAAGTCTACAACATCACCTCCTGGCTCCCCGCCCACCCAGGCGGGGACGTCATCCTCCGCGCCGCCGGCGGCTCCCTAGAGCCCTACTGGGAAATTTTCACCATCCACAACTCCCCTCACGTCAAAGAGATCCTAGAAGAGTATCTAATCGGGTACATCCACCCCTCCGACCTCGGTCCAGACGGGAAACCACCCGCCACGAGCATCGAAGACCCATTCGTAAACGATCCGGTGCGGGACAAAAGACTTATAACGCACACTTACAAGCCTAGGAACGCGGAGCCGCCTAACCAGGAGCTGGATAAGGGGTTTTACACCGAGAATGGGATGTTTTATGTGCGGCATCATATGTGGGTTCCTGAAGAGGATGGGGGGGAGTTGGTGGTGGAGTTGCCTGATGGGGAGGAGAGGAGGTATACGATTGGGGAGCTGAAAAAGAGATTTAAAACGGAGAGAGTTACGGCAACGTTGCAGTGCAGTGGAAACAGGAGGAACGACATGACCCGACACGCAGGGAAAACGAATGGGTTGCAGTGGGGGGTCGGCGCGATAAGTAACGCGGTTTGGGAGGGCGTGAAGCTGAAAGATCTCCTAAAAGATGCTGGGCTCGAGTTGGAACAACAAGAGAACGAAAAAGATATGCACGCTTGGTTTGTCGGCAGGGAGGCTTACTCGGCTAGTATACCGCTCCCGAAAGCGACCGACCAAAACGGGGACGTGCTGCTCGCGTGGGGGATGAACGGAGAAACACTCCCGAGGGATCACGGGTTCCCACTCAGGGTGGTGGTGCCGGGGAATGTGGCTGCCAGGAGAGCGTAAAGTGGCTGAGCAGGATTGTCATTTCGGACGAGGAGGCGACGAGTCAGTGGCAGAGGGAGGGATTACAAGAGCTTTGGGCCGAACGAAGGGGGCAAGGAGGATTGGGACAAGGCGCCGAGCATACAGGAGATGCCGGTGACGAGCGCGATAACGGGGGTCTGGGTGGGGGAGTGTGTCAAGAAAGTTTCTTGGATGCCGGGGGGAGGTATTGGGAGTGGGGAGAGGGTGAATGGGGGGGGGAGAACGATTGATATGGCGGCTACACCGCAAAAGGTGGGCTTCACCCCCAAACCGACCTCTTCTGACGGCAATACCCCCTGTCCGGAAACAACACCGGACAATGAACCCATTGCCCTCCAGGGATACGCCTACTCTGGCGGGGGCAGAAAAATCACGCGCGTTGATGTCTCCCTCGACGGCGGCGCGACGTGGGACCAGGCCCAGCTCGTGGACGACTGCTCCAACCCAGCCACGCCGTGCTATGGGAACAAGAGCTGGGGGTGGACAAGGTGGAGATACAACGGTACTCTTCCCGTCCTCTCCCTCCCACCCACTGTCCCCTTACCCCCGGCCCTGGCAAAGGTTGGGCAGGACTGCGAGGATGGATTCGGCCGGTCGGTGAGCTTGATGGGACAGTTGCCTAAGAAGCAGTGCACCACGCTTATTGTCAAGGCCACGGACGAGAGTTACAATACCCAGCCGGAGAGCCACAAGGGGATATATAATGTCCGGGGCAACCTGGCGACGGCGTGGCATAGGGTAAAGATTTGTCCCGAGTGCACCAAGGGGAACGGGGGTAAGGGAGGGTTGGTGTGGAATACGGGGGAGACGTATGGGTGTGGGTTCAGGAAAGAGGCGGAAGAGGTTAGGGAGGGGATGAGGGCTGCTTCTGAGAGTACTGGGAATGGCAAGTGACGGTGCTGGCTGGGGACGGTCTGGTAGATATGGCGTTTGGGGATATATCTGAGGTATCATGGCGCCTAAAATAGGAAAACGCCAATTATTTGGTCCTAATACATTAATCTGATCATGATTTACACCTCGGAGCAAGCCGCTCTATGCAAATAGCCAATCTGTTATCTCACCACCATCACAACCCCAAAAAAGCTCTCTACGCCGGAGCCAAGAACCCATCAATATCCACCCTCTGAAGGAAACTCACATGGCCAAACTCAGACCAATACTGCGCCAGCCTATCGTGGCTGATCAGCAACAACTGCGACTCAATAAAGCTATCTGTCGCGCCATCCCAAATAAATTTATGGGGTCTGTCAGCCATCATCCTCGTCCCTCCCGCCACAGGTAGATAGATCGAAGAAGAACTCACCATTGACAAATCCCGTCGAGCCCACATGTCCCTGGCTCTTCACAATCCTCACCCCCTCAAACGGTTCATATTGGCAGATATTGATGAGCCCCCTTTCTCCTAGGTCCGCAGCTCGAAAGGTTACTTCCCCTCGGGGAACGTTAGGGTCACCCGTAAGTTTAACCGCCTCCAGCGGACCACGATAGACAGTTTCGTCGTGTTTTCGCTTCTCAAACTCGTCGGGTGACTCTTCCTCACGGGGTTGGATACTCTCGGCATCAAAAGGCGTCTCATCATCTGGTTGCGTGACAAGAAGAAATTCACACCCGTGACCCGAGTAATCACCTACCCAGATCCCCCTAAACGGCTTTTCTTTTGTCGGAGTGTACAGTTTCGGGTCCAGTGTGGCATAAGTAGCGAGTTCCTGCCCTATCTGCATCCGGATGGAGACGTCGTCGTCTAGGGCGTCGTCTACGGCGTCGTCTCCCCGGACGGCAAGGGGCAGGTTCATCATGCTTACGGCTAACGGATCTGCGATGACGGACATATTATAAACAGCTCGGCCGGGGATGCGCGTGGCAAGCCATGTTTTGATCACAAAGGCCTTGTCGGAGAGGTCGGAACGGGAGGAGGGGCGGGTCTCTGGTTTGAAGTGCCGTCCACTGGAGAGCTTGGCGGCTGTTCCGAAGACGCGGTGGCCCGAGGGGATGGCGGGGGGTGGCCAGATGAAGCCGTAGGGAAACTTGGGGGAGGCGCAGAAGGAGATCTCGTCGGAGGAAAGGACGCGGGTGTGGAAGATGGTTGCATACATCGAGTCGGTGTAATTTTGCATTTGACGCTCGGAGAGGAGACGTGAGGGTTTAGGCGGAGCGACTGAAGCTGGGGAGGGTGAGCGAGAGAAGTTGCCTTCCATCGAGGAGGTGCGAGAACGGACAAGGCGGAGGTTGATGGTGTTGAAACGGGCCCAAGCTGGACTGTCCGAGTCGAAGGCAAGAGAGTCGGCAGAGTCGACGGCGTCCAGCTGGATCACGGTCTTGTCCATGTGAAGTTGAACGACAGGGTCAAAGTGGTGAATCGAGACGTTGCGGTTGGCTTCCCAGGGTTGAAAGGTGCGACTTCGGTTTGCGGCGACGAGTTGGTAGCCTTCGATGCAGCCCCTTCGGGGGTCGTAGCGGACGATGATGAGTCTGCCGGTGAGGTTGACATCTGCGAACCATATCTTGTATTTTGGCAGGTACCAGTAGGGATCATGGGCCCGGTAGAGAGCTTTGAAGCTCCGGCATGGTGCTGGAGTCCTGACTTGGATACCAGGGACGTTTTCTTGAATCAGAGCTTGCCAGAGGTGATCGGCGCTGGCACGGGTGTAGAGGGTGCGGGATGTCGCCGAGACAGCGACAAGGTCAAAGGGTGAGAGGTGAGACAAGATGCTGTATACCAGCTCAGGGGGGAGCAGCTCCAGCCTGGAGAGTTCTTCGGCTCCCATCACCACTGCGGCGTCGTGTTCAAGATGGCTCATTTCAGCCGGCGTTTCCTCGAGATGTCAAAGATGGGGAAAAGGCGGGGTTCACTCCACCTCTGCCATCAAGGTGCTCTTTCCCCGTCTTTATCAAGAAAAAATGGCAGGTGGACTTTTAGCTGAGGTGGCAGGAGACATCGGGAGGGAGAGAGCTACCCCGCACCACCAGATGCAGAAGGCAAAGTTGGAGACAAAGCGACAGGGCAGCTAGCATGAGGTTTTGCATCATCGACATGACCCTCGTCATTTATCCCCAAGATATCGCGCGACCACACCCTGGAACCCCTCCTTCCCCCCACATGTCACACAACCACGAGGGGCAGGGTTCGAGCTGCTGCCCGGGACCGGCGCTCGGGTATCTGATCTGTGATAAAGACGGCCACCATTGCGGAGGGGACACATGTGCAGATCCCATCACGGTCCAGATAGGGCAGGTGTATATGACACCGGACTGAGTACCGAAGCTAGTGGCGACGGCAGGGGCTGCTCGGTCGGAGCTGCTCGGTCGGAGCTTCAAGCCCGCCATCCCCGGTCCGGCAGTGACGCTCGAGTGGGGTCACAGGCGGTACTTCAAGACTGCACCCAAATTGTACATACAACGAAGTACCTTTCTTATCGCCTTCCTTATCAAGCAGCCCAACGGACAGCACAGCTCCACTGACTTGACCGCAATCCTCACCTCACCTTCCGGGATGAGAGTGAAACATCAGACATCGACTCAATCACATTTGTTATTTACTTCACCCAATATCATCAAGACATCATCGACGTCCTCCCTCTTTTGTCGATTGGACCAAACACTCCCGATTCTGATTGCGCCGCAGGTTTCCTGATCTCAGGTATCGATCTGGACGGGCCAGTTGACAGCTAGCTCACCAACACGGAAGGTGGCAGAAGACGACTCCCAATTACCATCCGATGCGCATTGTGTGACTTTCAGTGTTGGACTTCAAAGCAGGCCGCATCTAAAGACGAGAAACCAGCGAATTATTCTTTTGGGCTACTGGCGACCACCGGGGCCGACCCCTGATACCCAACCGTCAACTGTGCCAACTCACCCATCCCTCAGCAGAACCCGACGACGATAAAATCTTAAACGGAACCACTCTCAAAACATCACCGTTACAGTCACCACCTCCATTCAGCATCGCATCTCATGTGCCATTGCCAACCTCGCAGGCCAAGTCCTGTCCGTCATAGTCGCCTTCCTACTTTGTCATAGCCACACCTCTACGGATGTACATCCCGGACGCGCGTGAACTATTCCACACGATGGCGTCCTTGATCCCAATCGTCCAGGAGGTCCTGCCCATGATCATGCCGGCATCCATATCTGTGACCAGATCCGCCGATATACTCCCCCCCTCGGAGCACCACACATCAGGTGACCAACAAGCCGATGACCGGACAGATGTATCCCCGAAAACGGTGATACCAGCAGCAGCGCCGACTCCAGCACCAACTCCAGCGCCAGCGGCAGAAGGGCCGCGGGTTATCAGCAGGGACGCCATAGTTGGGCAGGCGGAGAGCATGTGCGCGACAGGTGAGTTTTAAGTTCCGATGTCCCCTACTTGTTCCCGGGCCCCCATGATCAGTGGGTTACCGTGGTTTGCCCACGCATGGAAAGCACCGGTTGGCTGGCTGAGGGTGGGAAGGCCATCCATCCATCCATCCCTTCCCAACACCCACCACCATTTAGCTAGCTGTTGAGCTTGATGAGCATGCTACCAACCAATATCCCGCTTTGCCAGTCCTCATTGTGAAGCCCCGATCATCCTCTTTAATACACCACAACGGAGAGCAAGGTACGTTTTTTTTCTGTTTCTTTCCTTTTCAACTTGATACATATCCTAGAAAGTGTTGTACCATGCAATGATCCATGACCCTGATATACCTCACCCTCAAAGAAACAATCATCTACGTGACATCCGGCACGGGCGTCCTCCTCGCCCAGCCAAAAGACGAAGACGAGCAGCACCCCGAACGCCACGTGCTCGGAAAGGGGGACTTTGCGTATATTCCTGCGTGGCTCGAGCATCAGGCTGTTAACGAGTCGGAGGTGGAGGATTTGGTGATGGTGGTGGTGCGGAGCGGGTCGGCGCCTGTGGAGGTTAACTTGAGGAGTTGGGGCGGAGCGGAGGTGAAGGAGGGGAGGTCATGACTTGGGTGTTTTTGTTTTTTATTTATTTATTGACATATAAATGGAAAATATCTACGCATATATAGGAAATATCTAACCTATTTACCATGTTATTTTCCGTCCTCCTTTTTGTGACCAGAATAACTCTCCACCACCTCAGCAACAAGTTGATAGTCTTTTTTCTGTTCAAAAACCTGCGCGTGGTCTAGCTCGGGGAACCAGATGATTTCTATCCCGTCCCGTGTTTTGTGTGTTTTTTTTGCTGGCACGTCAGTTGTTGCTGTTGTTGTTGTCCACCTGTGATCCTTTTCCTTTGTCCAATCCCCCTCTTCACAAGCAAGGTACTTGGCCACCGTCCCGGTATCAACTATCAGATCCCTCCCGCTCAGCACAACCGCCACTTTTCTCCTTTGGGTCGTCGTGGTCGTCAAGTCCTCCCTCCAGAGGATATTCTCCCTCCAGAAGAAATACCGCCCCAGCCCCTCCCCTACCCCGAGGTCTGTGCTGGCAAAGTACCACAGCTGCCATTCGTTTGCTTTGGCGGGTTGGCGGCGGGTGAAGTTGTAGGCCACATCTGGGAGGTGGAGCAGGATGGTCACGGGGTCGATTAGCACCAGGCTGGTGACGCGCGGTGAGAGGGTGGTGTCGGATAGGATGTGGGTTGCGAGGACGGAGCCGTAGCTGTGGGTTACGAGGGTGAATTCCTCCCAGCAGGGCGGTAAGTGGGAGAGGATGGAGGATAGTTCTTGGAGGAAGAGGGTTTTGGACAATGGGGGGCATGTTAAGCGGGAGGAAAAGGGGAGGTTTTCCAGGATGAGGATGCCGATTTCCTTGGGGAGGGAGAGGAGGAGGGGTGGGTAGGGGTAGAGGCCTATGCCTATTCCGTGGAGGAAGATTACCGGTTTGTGGGTTGGGGATCGGTGAGGGCGGAGGTAGTAAGAGAGGTGGTTTGCCGGGGAGGGGGGGCGGTGGGGGAAGAGGTGGGATAGGACTGGGGGTGGGAAGGAGTGGAATATTTTGGGAGAGACGACAGTTGCTGTGGTTTGGGGAGGAGGGAAATAGGGGCGGTGGTGGGAGAAGTTGTTTCGGTAGAGGGTGAGGTGGGTGAAGGCGTCGACGGCACAGACGAGGAGATACCAGATGATACTTCTGTAGCGGGTTTGGATCGGATCAAAGGTAAGGCGGAGGGCGGTGGTGGAGTTGCCGCGGCCGGGAGGGAATTTACGATTGGAAAGGGTCTCGATGTGGGAGATGTAGCTGTCGATTTCGGGTTCGATTTCAGGGGTGAGAGGGGCGGTTGAGTCGGTGTCGAAGAAGCCCCAGAGGATGAAGTCACGGATGTTGTCGCGTTTTATCTCAGTGAGGGGGGCGTTGAGGAACCAGAGTTGGAGGTAACGGTGCCAGTCGGGGACGTTGGCGGTGCATTGTTGGAAGAGCGCTTGACGTTGAGAGCGGGTAAGTGGTGGGGAGGGGTAGATGGCCTTGCTTTTGAGCAGGCGTTCTTTGTGGGGGAGATAGAGGAAGAGGAGGGAGGATATCTCGAGGATGCAGAGGGTGAGGATGAATAGTTTGAGGGCTATTGCTGTGGGGGAGCCCGATGTTGGTTGAGGCCCGAAAAAGAGTGAAGTGAGAATGAGAAGTGAGAGCTCGATGAAGAGAGCATATTCAAGGAGAAAAATGCAGATGCGGATGAAAATGAGGTTGGTAAGCGAGTGGCTGATCATGATTTGGTTGTGCAATTGTCAACCGCTCCATAACACAAGTATGGTGTTTATTTTCATGGATAAGAAATAATCCATAATGAATTTGTGTTGGTGTGTCTATCGCAGGTGGGCCCTGTTCTGTTGGGCTTGGATGACGTATGCGTGCCTGGCTGTGTGTGATTGGATGAAACAGAAAACGTCCTTTACGTCTATCCCAAGTACCTGATATCATAATGGCACAAAACCAACCGAGACTCGGCGCTGGTGCCTCTATTATAACTAACACTTTGTACTGCCACCAGCCGCCGTTCAATTCGCGGCAAAAATGTCCATCAGTTGAGGGTGTTGTCCTGCCACCTGTGCGAATCCCCCACTACAGGCCTTGCCTGCCGTCTACCACCCTAAACGTGGTTTATAGGAACGAATTCCGACAGTCCCAAATGTCTTCGGACACGTGGTTTTGGTGTTCTAGCCAATTATGATTTGGGGACCGTGGATGCCTAGACAGACATCTTTTTTCCTTGGGAAAGGCTTCAAGTTCAAGTCCGAAACAGGTATTTGGTTTCTTCCCCCCCCCCCCCCCTTTTTTTTTTTAAGAATTTTACTTTCTCTGCGAGGCGAGCTTATCATCGGTTACCTTAGTTAACCACACACATGGCTTGCCGACCATATCATGAACGCACACGGCCCTCAAAAATCCTCAACACTCTCAATATCTCCCCTTTTAGGGTTGCGGCATCCCTCCCACGAGGCCACAAACAAATCCAACCGAAAACGATGCCATTTAGAAAACCTCGTAGTTGCTTCAAGGCTCCGTCCTGTCCTGTCCGCTCACCCGGCTCTCATTCTCTCCTCATTGTTTCGTTGACAGCTTTCTTGCCCTCTTTCCCCGTTGATCTTACAATCCCAAAGATACAGACAAGCCGAAAAGATGCGTCTTCCCTTTTCTGAGCACAAGGAGCCGGTGCGAGGCCGCCTCCACCAGCGTCGTCAACTCCAGAACTACCCGCACCCGTACTATGAAGCTGACTATCGTGTGGTGATGGAGCCCATGCCACGGACTCCCGACGAGATTGACGATGCCATCTCTCGTTCAGTACCCCTCTCACCCGCTACTCCCCGCCTCCGGGTGGCACTCCCGTCCCCGACCCATCCTATGCTGATCCCGACATCCACGTCGGTTACCTCGACACTCATCGTCTCAACGCTGACCGCGTCGTCCATCATTCCCTTGACCCCTGACCCCTCGGGTACTACCGTGGTTGAAAACCCCCATCCGCCTGTTATGGTATTGTTCAAGTTCTCCGGTTTCAATCTATCCGTCCATGTGCACTCGCTAATAAGGATCCGCTTCAGGCTGCGAAAGAAAAAAAGGATCTGGTACACCGATAAAAATACCGGTCACGCATTTGTCATCTGGGCCATCGTGGCGTTCATGCCAGCCATGATTCTCGGCATTACCTGCATCGACATCTACACGAGGTGTGGTGCCCCGCGAGTTGCCATCCCTGATGGCCAGAAGGAAGCCGATGCAGCTCCTGCTAGGCAAGAAGAGGTCAAAGAAGAAAAAAAATAATGACGAGGACAAAATGGATGATGGTGGTGCGAGCCGGGAGAAAAAGTCATCTTCTACTGATGCTACCATCATGGAGAAGCCTACGCCACCACCGCCGGTCTCCCTTGTGAACCCTTCTCCTTTGGGAACTCTTGGAGCTCCCGGTAGCGCTCGCACTGGGGATGGCTCCTCGTGGACTGATCAGCCGAGGGGAAGGCCGAGGCTTGATGTTGAGACTGACCCGACAAAGCCACCCATCACCAACCATAACACTGTGAAGAAGGTTACTCTCGACGATAAGGATGTCATCACCGCCACCGGTCCTTCAGTTTTACACCGCCGCCTCCATGGCCGCAGAGGCAACGGCCAGGTCAATCGAACAATCCACCCCCCCACTCTCTAGCCAACCCTTGCTCCAAACTACCCAAGCCTGGGGAGCCCTTGGTTATCACAACCACCATCCCCACCCCTACTTTGTCAAACACTGGTTTTGTCCACACCATCAACACCGCCTTTGACTCGGGTGACACTAGGCCCCTTTCCAAGATCAGCGAGGAAGGCAGCAGTGTCACGGATGGCAATGCCGAGCCATCCATGATGAGACAGAACCTGAGGTGGTACACTCTCTGATCTGGATGATGATAAGAGTTTCAGCACTAGTCAAGGCTGCCACCAAGGGGTGTGTGTTATGACGAGATGAAAGGACATTGCAATGAATCATGGTTATGATGGAATGGGTGTCTTGCATTTGCTGGGTTGCCAAAAGCTGGACAAACACAGCGGTATTAACTGGAGCTTTGATTGGATACTACAGGCTTCTTCTGGCTACTGTTTGGGGGGGCTTGAGGGATGAGAGTTGGGGTATTCCTGCTTGATTTCCGTTTTTATTCCTGGATAATGTAGGCACCTAGAGTGAACGACATTCGGAACTTTAGCTGTTACCCTCGGTCGTGCTTGTTCGGAGAAGCGAGTTCCATTCTCATGACAGCCGGCGCTGAACAGCTGAGGACGGTGTTCCGGATTCCAAGCGGGTTTTGGCTTTACATCTTTTGTGTATGAGCCTAGTGCACACTAGTTAGCACCGGTGACCGAGCTAGCCTTCACCAGTGCCATATCGTGATACCACCTCTTCGCCCTGGAATTCAAAGGCGCAGGTCACACAAAGAACCTGGATCACCGCTGGACATTTGATGGTTGCGACCACGGCATTGAGGCTGTGCTTGCCAAGGGGCGCATGGCAAGACGAACAAGAAGGTTGTGGGGGCGGGGAAGAGATTAGGGGGAAGTAACGTCGTCTGAGCTCTGTTGACAAGCAGGCGCATATATCATCTTTCACATTCCCATATTGTCACAGTATATACTGTGCCTGGGGATATGTGGGGCCACCATTCTCGTTGCTCCCTGGTGGTTATATTCTGGGCCTGCATGGCCATGGTAGTTTTATTCCTGTGCCTGTGTAGCACTTTGTCAATTCACACCATACCATAACACATATATCATGCCCAAAGAATCGCCATTCACCTCCTCAAAGATTGACCATACAAGATCGCCCGACACCATTTTCCCCCACCTAAGCATAAAAATACCTAGGTAAATATATTTAACCGCGCCCATTTCCTCCATAAACTCATCTCACGTTCCTTTTCCCTTACTCAACCACCCCCCCCCCCCTTGGTACCCCCTCCCCTATCCTCCGTTCCAAATCCTCCATCCCCGCCAATATCCCCGCAACCCAATCAACCTTCCCCCCTTCCTCCCCCCCATCCATATCCATCTTGTGATACAACCTCAACAACCTCTCCCGATGCCCCCTAACATCCCTCTCCACCAACCCGAGCGCCTCCTCCACCGTCTCCGGCTCCTCCTTCCCCGCCGCCATCTGCTTCGTCAGCGCAAGCAGCAAATCATGCTGAGCATCCAGTTTCGCCTCAAACGCCGGCGGATCAGGCGTCAAAAGCTGCTGTGCTTGTGGCTGCGGCCGGGAAAGGATATCATTCTGCAGACTCTGCAACCCGTCCACAATGTGATGAGATGATTCCATCAGCGTCGAAACCGCATTCGTGATAGTCGAAAGCGTGCTCTTCAACTCTTGGGGGTCAAAGTCATTAGGTTTTGAGGGGGGTGGGCGTTCGGCTTTGGCGTTGGCGAGCTCTGCCTCCAGGATGGAAATCTGATTGCGGAGTTTGACCACCCCTTCGTGTTCGGACGAGTCTGAGAGCGGGACAAGGTCTGCGATTGATGGGGATCTGCTGGGGATGTGGCTGCCGGCTTTGAGCAGCCAGGAGGATCTCGGCGAGGGTTCTCCGCCTGGAGCAGAGGGTAGTTTGATGCCTACCAGGTGCTGGGATGCCTGTGGCGTGTTTGTCGACTCTGGAAGAGGGACTTTGGTCTGGGCTTCGACTGGAATTGTATGGTTGGTGGCTGAAGTCGACGTCATCCTGGCTTGTTTTGAGCTGCGTTCAGGTGGCGGCGAGGCAGACCGCTTGCGTGGATTATACCGACTAGTGCTGCCAGCTCGATAGGCAGATTGGTTGCCAGGCGAAGCTGGTCGGTCGTTCCTTGAGCTCTTGCTCGAGAGCTGGGACTGTGTTGAAATAGGCTGGTCCTTCAGAGGGACCCAAGCTGCATTCAGCCATTGTTTCTGCTGGGACTTGAAAAAGGCAGCAGCGCGAGCTCGAAGGTCTGCTTCCTTGCTAGGCGCAAACTGGAAAAGCGAAGTGTTCCGTCCTCGGTGATCCAAAATGTCGATCCACTCGTCGGCCGACCTTGCTGTTTGGGATGAGGCACTGGTTGGGTATCTGTCCTTGACAGCCTTGCGGGCGGCGACGAGGACTGTTACTATCGACTTCACTGCGTCTGCGTTGGCGCTGAAGCCTTGAGAGATGACATGCCAGAACGAGGGAAGCTCGTAGAACTCGGCGCATTCCACCAACGCGCCAAAGAGAACAGCAACATTGTTCCCATATCTTATCCTGCGAAAGGCTATTGGGTCCATGTTTCGGAACAGGTCGTGGTCTATGTCGGTGTAGACGCTTGTCAACCAGGCAGCGCCCCATGACGTGTCGAAAGGCTGGCCGATCTGAATGCCGTGGGAGAAACCATCCAGAATGATGGGCTGAAGTCTTTTAAAGCCGCCCATGCTGGCCAGGTCTTTGTCTCATGCGGCCTGTCCCAGATTTTTCCAGGCGTGATGTGGTGGCCAGCAGTAGGTAAGGTAGTTGCCCGCAATGATGACGGAGAGGTGCCCGACCAATCCGTGATTTCTGATTTCACCACAGTGCAGTGCCACACTGTGTGAGTGTGTACCAAACACACGGTGTTTCAAACTCGCAGCCAGTGCTTCTCTTTTTTTTCTTTTTTTCTCTTATTGTAAAACTACCTGCACTACCTTAATCTCCATTCCAAATTTCAAACTCAGACACTACGTCGGTATGCTTCCAGGCAGCTGGTCAGCCGTGGAATCGCACTGAAGGCCCTACTAAGCTCTCCCAGATTCACCGTCGCAGCCAAGTTCAGGTAGAAGCTCCGCCATGCCTTCTTCTCTCTCTCCTGGGAGAGAGCCAGCCAGGGGCTTGCTTGCCGTGCCCAGGTGTTCTCCTGGAAGAGAGCCAGCCAGAGGCTTGCTGGCCGTGCCCAGTTGTCTTCTCCCACCTGGTCATTGCACACAACAACGTCTCGCCACTCTGCCCCAGCAGCCGTGTACCTGGTTGAACGATCAAGCTTGGTCTCGAGAAGCCTGATATCGGTCCGAAAATGGGCCAGCTTTGTAACGTCCAGACCAGCGTAGTACTGGCTGAATTCAACTGCTTCCTTCTCGCTCATGCTCCTCCTCAGCCCTCTCGACTGCCCTCCCGACCGCCACAAATGCTTATCCGGCATTAGTCGCCTGGCGATCGCCCGGAGGAGACGATCGCAGGACGAGATGCCAAAGACGCAGAAATGATTGATGTTGCGCATACCATTCAAGCAGATATCGGGGGCGCCGCCTTCCATTCTCGCCAAGCTTGTGTTGATGGTCTCACGGATGGCCAGAAGGTGCTGGGCCGTGGTGTAGATGACGGGTCGCAGGTCCATCAAAGTGGCCCAGAGGTAGACGCTCCGAAACGGTGCTTCGCTAACGTGCGACAATTTTCTGAAAGAGTCAGTAAGATGCGATGTGTGCCACACACCCGGCAAGACGATGTGCTTACTTTGTCCATGTCATCAACAAATCACCCAGCGATCCAACTGCTCCAACGATGTCCTGAGGACCATCTGGTCCATCCAACTTGTTTCTCAATTCCAGGCATGCCGCCACGATTGGTTCGTGCAAACATGGGCTGTGTTCAATCGAATATCCCGAGGTGTCACGAACCAGGAACGCATGGTAGTCATGCGATCCCGCAATGAATTTGTTCAAGTGCGGTCCAGGGCCGCACGTAGACTCAAGGACGTGGTTCAAGGCACCCAAGATTACACCATGAACCCTGCTGTGCACGGCCGGGTGGTCCCTAATTTGTAACATGGCCTGCCTGCAGTCCAGAAGTTGTGAAGATATCCTCTTGCCTTGTCCCCGTGGAAAGGGTACGACAGAAGCTGCGCCCGAGCCTCCTCCTCCTCCTCCTCGGACTCAGATGCCGAAGCGTCCTCCCCATGTGCCTCTGAGGAGGCTTCGATGGTGTCGTCCGTCACTGTCTCGGAGAGAAACTGAGCATCATCAGCCTCTTCTGTGTCAGGGATTGTCGATATCTCTTCGTTATCAGGGCCGGTGCCAGGGCCGGCAGTGATGTGAGAGCCGTTGAAAGGGCCTGGGGCAGGTAGGTTGGTGGGTGTAGGTACCGTCGTGGTTGCCGGTGCCAGGCCGGTGCCAGCACCAGAGTTGAAGCCCGAGTCGGAGGGGGCTTCAACCATGGAATAGCTATCATCGCTGTCAGCATCAATGTCTGACCAGTCGTCGCTGATAGAAGGTGTTGTGGTAGTGCTTCTCATGTCGACGAACAAACAAAGGGCGAGAGCAAAATACCAACTTGTGGGAGGAAGAGAAAGCAAAGAAAACCAGGAGCAATCCGCTGGTAAAGGGGTTTTAATAGTAATTTGATTTGAGTCAAAGAGAAAAAAAACCACAAGATACGCTTCAACAGTGGCCCTGCTCACTGCACCAAACCCAAAAGCTAATATCAGAGTTTTCGAAGAGGAGAGTTTGCACACAGCCTTTGGGTGGCAGCAGTCGAGGTGGATAGAAACTGGTCATCGACTATGTTTCCATGCCTTCTCCCTCAACAAAATTCGGAGGAGGGAACCTTCGGCTTAGCTTGAAGCTATCCCGGCTCATCTGATTTAACTAGTTGATAAGCCTTCCATAGCTGTTCCAGCCACGGTATTTTTAGTATAAATACCTACCCAGTACTCATCAGTGTCGGGCCAGAACCCTCACCCACCCAGGTGCCCTAGGTAGCCGGGTTAGCCGGGGACCCCCTAAGCTAGGTTCGGGAAGCACCCTCACCACCAAAAACCCAGGTATCACCACTTTTTTAGTGCTTGAAAAAGCCTCAAAAGAAAACCCTAGGGCTTGGCTTGAGCAAAAATACGGTCGGCTTGGCTTAGGGTTAGGGTAGCTCCAAGTTGGGGGGCTCAGCAGGCGGGGCATTGGTCTTCCCGGTTCGTCAGCCTGAACTTTGAGGTTAAATAAATATCCAACGTCGTCTGGCGGGTTTGCTGCCTGGTGGGGAGACAATTCCTCCCTGCATCTCCAAACGTCGGGATGACCTCCAACACCACCACTTTCCCCCAGTTTCAGCAGTTTCCTGCCGAGATACGCTGCCAAATCTGGAGGTACTGTTTTCGACAGCGCACTATATCGATTGGCTACAGGAGGGACCACTGGTGGACATACGTCAACCTGTGGCCTCTCCGCGATATCACCCAACCCATCGCCAGAGTGTGCTACGACGCCTTGCATGAAGCTGTTTTCCATCGAAAACCCGTCGAACCCGCCCTCAGCCACGCTTTCAACCCCATTCAGTGGCTCAATCACAGCACCGATACCCTCTACATCCAGCCACCTGATTCCTACGAAGACAACGCCTTATCTTTAGATGCCAAAGCTTTACTCGAATGGCTCTTCTCTTCGGGCATCACTATAAGTTTCCATCACCGCCTCCTCTCCGACTGGAAAATATGGGAGGACTGCCCTGACGACCGCACGCCCCATGAGCTTTGGAGACAGCTCAAAGAAGCCGCCCAGACCCGATGCTTGCAGGTGGTCGTCATGGAGAGTGACTTGCACCTGACCCGGGATGAGACCCTGTCGACTGGGCTCTGGGGGCCTTTCGCCGAGCCAGGAGATATTGCCTATTCCCGCCCGGATAAGTTCCTGGGCACCTCCCAGCTGCAGCGTGGTCACGCGATATGGCGAGCACTATCTCTCAGCTTTGCCAACCGGTCGGATGATGGCGTGGAAGTTGGGTGTCTGGTGGTTGACTCTGTGAATGAGTGGCGTGAGAGGGTTTCGTCAATGGCACAAACCAGTTCAACATGGTTTGATCAGGAAACGAGGAGGGCTTTGGCAAGCCAAGCCGGTTCGTCAAGCCAGGATTCTGCTATGAATGGGTTGTTGACTTATACACTGGCTAGGTAACGGATCTGTTGGCGTTGTGCATCTGCCTCCTGCCACGCCTCCACCCGTCATGTTTCAACAAAGAAGGGAGAACTGGATCAGGCTTTGTGATGATGTGAACCCGGAGGCGCTGGTACCGGTGGTGAAGTTGCAATGGAGGTTACATGGTCAAACCAGGGTCTGAAAACCCAAAGGATGGCACAAACACCCTCAACTGCCCAACATTTTGCCACTCTTGCCCGATATGGTGTGGGCCTACAGCGAAGTACAGGTGGATGACACAAATGATGAGGTTACAGAATCCTTCCTGGCAAAATAAGATAATCCAGGAGGACAACCCAGCGACAGAAGATGGTCGGTCCGTCCATGACGAGAACAGTGGGTGTAACAGAACAGATAGATATTCCACAGAATTGATAGCATCAACGCCAAAGTGTGAGCCCCCGTCATAGCATACAAATGAGACAATGTTACATGATTAGACCCTGATCACCAACAACCAATAAATGTAGGAGAAATACAATACCCAAGAAGTCACACAACCCCAACGGCTTCAACCTCTTCGGCTTCAGTCTCATTCGTGAACCCCATCCGACCGTCATACCTCCTCTTTTTCGTCCCCTTTTCCATACCAGCCGACGGCACAACTTCCTCATCTTCACTCTCCTCCCCACGAGCCAAAGCCAGCACCCGTCCCAACTCCCCGACGATTCTCTTCCCCCTTTTCTTCTCAGCCTCATACTTTTGAGCAATAACCGCATTCTCCGCCTTGAGCGCATCATTCTCCCCACCCACCCTCGCCACCTCACCCTTCAACCTCCCCACCAACTCCCCCGTCTCTCTCAACTCCCCCCTCACCCGTTCAATCTCAGCCCGCCATCCCAAAATAGCCTCCTCCCTCCCGTTTAATTCCTCCTCATACCTCGTCTTCACCTCCGCCAACTGGTCTTTATACCACCGCTCCAGCGCCGTGACGTGAAGCTGCTGCTCAATACTCTCCCGTTCCAACCTCTCCTCCAGATCGTTGATGAGGGTTTCCAGCTTGGAAATGCCATTGGTGTATTTATCCACCGCCTCCCTCAACTCCTCCACCTTGGCCTCCAACTTTTTTTTGTCGTTTTGCTCCTTCGCCAACCTCTCCTGTAAGTGATCAGTGAAGTCAACCCTGGCACTCAACTCCCCCTTTAACCCCCTTTCCCGCTCCCTCAACTCCTCAATCACTTCCCCCGCGTCTTTACTCCTCTTGTCCAGCTCCTGCAGTTTTTGCACCATCATCTTGATAACTTGTCCCCCCGAACCAGACAAGGGGAGGGTTAGTTCCCCGGGGGATAAGTACTCCAGTTCTAGGCGGCAAGAGCGCAAGGTGGAGGATATGCCGGTTATTATATCCAGCGCGTCTGGGTTTGGAGTGCTAGAGGGGGCAAACCCGAGGGAGGAGAGGGATTTGTTCAGGGTTGTCAACGCGTGGGTCTTGTCGGATAGGGACGTGAGGGTTTGGGAGAGGGAGGATAATATGTCCGAGGGGGCGGTGCCGGTTGGGAGGGAGAGGTGCGAGGTTAACTGGTTTTTGAAGATGTCGAGGTCGCGTTGGAGGGTTGATAGTTTGGTTTGGAGATGGGGGATGGCGGGGTCGGGGAGGGAGGTTTGGATTGCTATTGAGGTGGCTGTTGTTGTTGTTGTTGTTGTTGTTGTTGTGGTGCGGGGTTTGGACGAGCAGGGGGTTAAGGGGTCGTCGGTGGTGTTGAATTGTCGAGCTGGGCTGGTTGATGGCGGGGTGGGGAATGACGACCGGAAGGAGGCAGAGGTGTGGTGGACTGTGGCGGTTGGCTTTCGGGTGGGCGTGCTGCATGCTAGTTCGGCCATGGTGGAATCGCCAAATATCTCCTCGTCTGTGTCGTTGTCTGGGAGGTCGTCGTCCATGCCCAGATCCATGGAGTAGGCATCCTTTGAGAAGGGATCACGAGCGGCGTCTGTCCAGTCTTGCTGTGGGGGGCTGCTGCTTGCTGCCGTTGACGGCCTAGAGGGTGATGATGTTGCCCCTGACATCTGGCTCAACTGCCTCCTTAACCGTGATACCTTCCTTTCCAGCTCCCATACCCGGTCCGTGTCCACCATCACCGTCTCCTCCTGTAATCTCATGATCGCCTCGTCCTTTTCCTCTAATTCCTGCCTCAGACGGTTCATCTCCTCTTTTGTCTGCTTTGCCTTGGTCTTTCGTTCGGCGAAAATGGTGTTCATCTCCTCGCTGAGCCCATTCCGTCTGATGCGGCGTTTAACCCGGCCATCGAGAACTTGGCGGAGGGGAAGGAAGGTGATTTCTTCGCTTTCATAACTGGTATTTGCGGCTGAGTAGACTGGTGCTGAAGAGTGTCGGCGCTTAGGGGTGCCTGTGGCCAGACGAGTCCGGGATATCATGGGTGTCAGGCCCGTCCAAGACGTCGACACCTCATCTTCCACTTGTGTTGCTCCATTCCCAATAACCGGTCCCGGATCCGAAAATCTCACGCGTTTTCTTGTTGTCTTCCTCCTCGGCGTCGTTGCAACTGCCGAATCTGATGTTTTAGGTGGGGCTGTTCGTGATGAAGATTGTCCCTTTGTTGAAGTTTTTGACGAAGCCTGAAACCGAACACTCGCCGCCGTCCTCCTCGGCGTGCGCCGAAGCGCAATGGGAACATCTGAATCCGCCATTGTTTATCAACCAAGAAGAAGAATAGTCTTCCGAAATGTCCCAGTCACATACAAGCATCAGTGGATATCAAACTCAAAGAAAAGGCAATCCTCAGATTTTGTACCCAACGAAAAGCCCAACCCTGATCGCCACTGCGGTTGCCCCCACAGCTGCAGCCTGCACGCAATCAGGCATGTTTATTTACTTTCCCTTTTCGGGGTAAAAGTGGGCCCAGGGGAACGCGACCGCGACCCAATCAAGCACAATTTGCTGGGAACCCTCCCTGCGATTTTTAATTGATTGAGTCACCCTCGCGACTTGTTGCATTCTTGCACGCGTCGTGCCACGTGGTAAGGTGTCAAGCGATGGTATTTGACGTGAGTGACGTAGGGAATGTTGGAATGTCGACCGAAAACTGCATGTTGGGTGACAGCGCATAGGGCATGGATGCAGGGGAAAATGTTGATTGGATCTTGAGAAGAACAGAATGGTATTTTCAAACCAATCAGGTGTTTGTCATGTTGACCAATATGGTCTACAATCCAGTGCAGAGGCATTTTAGCAATATCTTGTTTGTGATGTTGCTCCTCATCTTTCCGGCTACAACAATGCACAATTATAGCTTCAAAGGACGTTACACAAGCCCTTACCAATATTCTGTCTGTAAATTTGACTAATATTCTTTCTGTAAATTCCTGTGTTAAGGTGACGAGATCTTGTATAGTTGTATGAACACAGTTTGGTGCTTACATCAATCAGCTAGGTGGGCAAGAACATCCTGTGTCTCGTAATGGCAAATGATGTGTCCAGCTCACTCAACGACTCCGTCCTAACTTTTGAACCTTGGTACTCTTGCATACCCACTCAGTCTTGTAGTTTGCTTTCTTTGTGGTCCAATGTGGCCAATAGGCCCAAATAGCTGAGTGATGCGGACTTAGGTAGGCATAATACCACACTGCAAGTTCTAAGTTCCAGTGCAAATTAAATATCAACAAGCTTCCTAATTCAACAACACACCAAAAGCAGTCTTGTCGATACTGCATTAAAACCCTCCGGCGGGCTATTGCTCTCGGTCTTTGCCGCGGGGCTTTGCCATTCATTGTCATGCTCGTTATCAGGCTTCCGTGGAAGTCGAGAGAGCAATCATCCCGAGCAGCGGAAGCACAGGAGGGCCATTGTACTCTCAAGCTTTCAAAGACTTTCGATGAACAATGGCGATACGATCTACACACCGGCAGCTTCTACACGATATGAGGATCTGTTAGAGATAGCTCAACATTGCCCTGGCCTCCATAACCACTAGAGGATACACCGCCAAACATCTGAGCTTCTTCCTGCCTTTCTTATCGGGCCTTTATCGCTCCTTATCACCTGCTCGCCGCCCTCGTGACCCATCGTTCCTTCCCTGACAGTCCAGGACAGTGAGGTTGGTAAGGAGGTTGTTTTTATTCTCCCAAATATCTTCTCCCCCAAGAATTTCGGTTTCTCTCCCTCGCCGAAATCTCTCCCACAGCATCAGACGACCGCCACCATGCCTCCCAAAAAGAAGAAGGCCTTGATCATAAAGGCCACCCCCAAGGGTCGCCTCAAGGCCAGCAGCACCGAAAGCACCAAAGGCAAGGCCACCGCGACCACCTCAACCAAGAAAACCCATGCCGCCTCCAAGGCCTCCAAGGACAACGACGACAGCCTCGTCAAATTCCCCCAGTTCAAGTGTTTCCCCCTCGAGATCCAGCAAGAGATCTTCACCCAAGCCCTCCGCAAACCCAGCATTCACTTCATGAATGTCGAGAAAGCCGTCATCCCCGGCTACACCAACGACAAAGGCAACTGGGTCGACTCCACCTGGCATCTGACCTACTACCCCAAATCCAAAAGCACCGACGGCTCAGGCTATCGTATCAACAAGGACATGGGCTCCGTCAGCCGCGCAGCCCGGCAGGCTGTTGTTCTCGCCACAAAAAACCCGGGCAACCTCCCCTTCTCTCGCGCCTGGGGACCCATGGACACAAACCACGACCTTGTCGTGCTCGACTTCCTCGCCGGCGCGACGTCAAACCCCAAGTCTGACTTTCGCTACTTTCATGTTAATAACCAGTTTTTCGTGCCTTACTTTGATCCTGAGCTGTCTTTTCCCGCGGGGAGATCCAGGCTTAGGGATGAGGGGGAGAAGAACAAGAAGTCTGTTTTTGGGACGGAGACTCCGGGTGGGATGGCTGATTTGAAGAAGGTGGGTGTTGTGTACAAGCAGAGTTCTCAGCGCACTTGCGCGAAGCAAAACACTGTTTTTCAGTGCTGCATCCATGTTGACGGGAGCATCGTGCCTCATGGGGACTGGACCATGTGTCCGGATGAGGTGGCGGGGTTTATCGACTCGATGCCGGGGTTGGAAGTTTTGTACTTTGTCGTGCAGGTTCCGAAGGGAAGCAGGGAGGATAGGGAGCGGTTGGAGATTTATAGGAGGTGGTTTTCTACAAGTGAGTCTTGGCCTCCCGTCTCATCACAATTTAATCACGATCTGCTACTGACCTGACCCTTGACAAGCTTACCATGAACAGCGCCGCATCAAGGGCCAACCTGAAGACTGGCTCACCCTGTTCCACGACGCCGACAAGACCTACATCGATGTCGACCGCTTCCTCATGCTTCCTAGCGATGAGGCCCGGCGTATGGACCTTGATGTTGTCAGGGAGGTCAGGGAGCTGATCAAGGAGGTTCATAGGCAGCTGACGCAGGACAAGGACGCGACTCCGATGGATCTCCGGAGGATCTTTCGGACTCCGCTGGGGAAGAGGCAGGCAATGGCTTACAAGATCTTGCTGCCGGTCAGTGGCATCTAGATTAGATATCGGTCTCTAGGTTATCGGAATTTGGGGTTTGACCTGGGCTGGAAAGGGGCATCAAGAGGTTTCTTTTGTAGTTAGAGGCCATATGCTTGGTTGGTAGAGTGGGAATAAACACGGTGATTTCGAGACTTGGTGTTCGGTACCTACTATGCGTGTTGTGAAGAAGTGTTGGCATGCCAACCCCTGAAGTTTTACCCATTGCAGAGGCAGGGGATGTTGGTGCCTTTCGCCAACATCTTGTCCCCATCGATGGAAGCCTGTCAACACAATTGAAGCATCTGCGCTTGATGTATGTTGTCAAAGTTCGTGATCCATCTCCATTGCCTGACCTCGGCTTTATATCATCTGGTCTAATAGCCTCCTCATGAGGCTCTGCTGGCCAATGAATTCTATTTTCAGGTAAGAAGGTCATATCAGACACATTAAAATCGAGTCTCTGTTTTTAACAGTCATGCAAGCTCCGTGAATCATACTTAACATGAGGATGAAAGATGCCCTTTCCCATGACGAAATAGATATGGGATCTCGGACTATGGCCACCATTGTGTGAGGAGAGGTATTACTCCAGTGGAATTAAGCTCCATCACCTTCTCATCTTCTTCAACTCGGTTCCCAGGTCTTCCGCAGCCTCGTCCCAGCCACCATTTCTCACAGATAATGGCTCGGGGACAAGAGGAAAGAACAAGACACCGATGGATGAGGGATATGGCCCGTGCACATAGACAATGCCCTAAGCAGCCTCAACGTCCGAGACGCACAACACAGTGATAGACCGAACTCTGACAAAGTCTTCAGATATTCCATTATCCGGTTCTCCACGTGATCGTGCCCCGATAAGCCTTCGATAGCTCCTGTTTGACCCCGCCACGTGCAAGCGACTTGTTGAACCTACTTTGGAAGTGGGCAGACACCGTCCTTCTCGAGTTGCCGCAGAGAATCTGGGGTTTTCTCTTCTTCTTTTCTTTCGCCAGCGGCAACGAAACAACCACCACGACAAGAGGGCCGGTCACTCCAATACAATCAGTGTCTCTCTGGCTTGAATCAAGCAACAGGCACCATCACAAAACAGTACAGGTCTGTTTACAGTCTATGATGACCGACTATGCGACTCGCTGACAGAAATCACCGAATACAACCCGACCGACTTCATGGCGCCTCGGCCTCACCACCTCCACCGTCTGAGGCTCCGTGTCCTGGTAAATCATATTCCGACTTTCCAAGCTCTCGTGACAACAAGAATGTCTCGACCCTACCCTCGCGGCTCATGGCCGCTTTCGCTCTCTCGCGCGACATCATCTCTCTGGTGATGACGGCCTGTTGCTGGGCTTGCAGGTTCAAGATGCTTGCCGACTTCTTCTCGGCATATGCCACCTGGGTCCAGACACCAACAACAGCACAGCATGCCAAGATGGTGGCGAAGCCAAAGTTGGACATGAAGACCGGCTCTTGCTTCTTGCCATCCCTCTCCTGGTACCATTGCTCCCAGTCTTCCCAAGTGGCGTTCTGGCTGGCGTTCCCAGGCTCCTTCCTCCATGACCTCCCTGCCGCCCGATGTTCAACATGTGGGTCGGTGTGATTTCCCCAGCCAATTCGGTGGAGGTCGTAGAGTCGACGCTTCTGAGGATTGCTGAGGATGTCATTGGCCGCAATGACGAGGCGATATCTCTCGAGCTTCGTCACATGGGGGATGCCATCGTGGGCCGAGTGATGGTGGAGATCGGGATGATAGAGTTTGACCAACTGGTTGAACCGTGCTTTGGTGTATACATCGTCTTTGGTAAGTCCGAAGACCTCATACGGAGTGGGGCTTGCAGAAGTAGGCCATTTCGGTGGCTTGTCCTGAACCGAGGCGCATGAGCGCTTCTGGAGATGGCAGCGCGGTAGCTGACACGATGACGTTATCGAAGCTGATGGCAGCACAAAAGTGGTCAAGGGAAATGGTGTAACGGTATGTCTTTTGAGCAGCATCATGGTGAAGTTGACAGGATCATGGTTTCAGGGCTTGAAGGAAGGAAAAGGACCATGGCGCCGGCAACACAAGAACAACTCGTGCTCGCGTCAGTGGCGGATACTAGTGTCTGGTTGAAGTGCAAAAGGGAAGATGCGGGATCTGGGACGATGGAGGGGACGGGACCATCGGCGTCTTGGCCTTTCTACAGTGTGGATCAACCCCACAGCCGGTTATCTTATCGCTGCCAAAGCACCGCCCCTGTTCTAGGAGAAAGCACCGTTGTTGGGCACGTGACGAGGAAACCATCATCGTCCCGAACTTTTCGAGTGGTTGCTGCAGAGAATTGTTCAGCCCTGCCTGCCTCATCTTTCTGCCCCGCATCGACGACTCCAGATCACTTTCCCGGCTCTACACCGACTTCTCGAGCAACACACGAACCACTTCGAGCCCCCAACAATCTATTCACTGTCCCCCACCACCCACATCCCATTCGCAGAGAACCGCACCATTTTCTCTATCCCGACTTCCCACTCCCCGAACCACCGAAGCAAGCCTCACCAGATCACCACACCACCAGACCACCAGACGAGCAGCTAGCTCCACAGCTTCCACGACATATCGGTCGACCAAATCAAACCCACAACTCGATCCCCAACATATGCCGCGACGGGTATAGCACTTCTCAACCCACAACCCACCGACCGCACGACATCCACCTCGATTCGCAATCTGGAAGAGCCAGTCTTGCGTCTCTGACACGACCACGACCGACCACAAGACCTCACTCGAACAAGACGGACGGGATACCTCCGGGCCACCGAATCCGACCGACTTACCTCTCTTTTCCCAAGATTCCCTCCTTTTGCTGCCAAAATGACCGACAGTCTCGCGGACAAGCTCCAGGCGACAAGCTTGAAGTATGTGGCGGACATCTTGCTCTCGACCCCATGAACCGTGGTGGCTAACAGATCAGTGATGACGAGTGGAAGAAGAACTTGAACATTCCCACGAAAGACAACAGACAACAGACCGAGGTTTGTCCCCCTCATGCTTGTTGCTGACCAGATTTGCTAACACTCCTTTGTTGCGCAGGATGTCACCAACACCAAGGGCATGGAGTTTGAGGACTTCGGACTCAAGCGATCCTTACTGATGGGCATTTTCGAAGCTGGTTTCGAGAAGCCCTCGCCCATCCAAGAAGAAAGCATTCCAGTTGCGCTCACCGGGCGTGATATTCTTGCGCGCGCCAAGAACGGAACCGGCAAAACAGCTGCCTTCGTCATCCCCGCTCTCCAAAAGATCAACCCCAAAATCAACAAGATCCAGTGTCTTATCCTGGTCCCGACCAGAGAACTCGCCATGCAGACATCCCAGGTTTGCAAGACGCTTGGAAAGCACCTCGGCGTCAACGTCATGGTTACCACTGGTGGCACAGGCCTCCGCGATGACATTGTCCGTCTCCAGGACCCCGTCCATATTGTGGTCGGCACCCCGGGCAGAATCCTCGATTTGGCTGGAAAGCAGGTGGCGGATTTGAGTGAATGCCCCATGTTCATCATGGACGAAGCTGACAAGCTTCTCTCGGCCGAGTTCACCCCCGTCATCGAACAACTTCTCCAGTTCCACCCCAAGGATCGCCAGGTCATGCTGTTCTCAGCCACCTTCCCTATTTCGGTCAAGGATTTCTCTGATAAGAACATGAAAGAACCTTACGAGATCAACCTCATGGACGAGCTCACTCTGCGCGGCATCACCCAGTACTACGCCTACGTCGAGGAGAAGCAAAAAGTGCACTGCCTGAACACCCTCTTTTCAAAGCTGCAGATCAACCAGTCCATTATTTTCTGCAACTCGACCAACCGTGTCGAGCTTTTGGCCAAGAAGATCACCGAGTTGGGCTACTCGTGTTTCTACAGTCACGCCAAGATGCAGCAGCACGCTCGCAACCGTGTCTTCCACGACTTTAGGAACGGTGTTTGCCGCAACCTCGTCTGCTCGGATCTTCTCACGCGTGGTATCGACATTCAGGCTGTCAATGTGGTGATCAACTTTGACTTCCCAAAGAATGCCGAGACATATCTTCATCGTATCGGTCGCTCGGGCCGTTACGGCCATCTTGGTTTGGCCATCAACCTGATCAACTGGGATGACAGGTTCAACCTCTACAACATTGAACGTGACTTGGGCACTGAAATCCAGCCCATTCCTGCCACCATTGACAAGAGTCTCTACGTCTACGAGAATCCCGAGTCGATTCCTCGGCCCATTTCCAACTTCAGGCCTGCTGGTAACCAGCAGCAGGGTCAACAGCAGCCAATGAACCCACCAACTCACCAGGCTCAACCCGCTGGTCCCCGCCCGGGAGGTGCTTCGGGAAACTGGCAGGGACGGGCTCCCCAGCAGATTGAAGGCAATCAGGCGTCAAACAGCTTCCAGCAGTTCCCGGACCAAGGCGGCCGGGCAACCAACACTGGTTTTGCGCCCCGCGGAGGGTACCAGTCTCGTGGAAACCCCGGCGGTCACCGGGGCAATGGCCGAGGCCGCGGTGGGTTCCAGCAAACCCAGCCTTCCCGCTATCCGACCCGCGGTGGTCGTGGTGGTCAGGGGCAAACCCCTATTCAGCAGCCCCCTTCTGGGCCCAACTAAGGTGCTGAAACTCTTTCCTCTACGTGACGCAGGTGGGACACCATGAGCATGGCGTTACGTGTTTCTTCTGTTGATTTTCCTTTTGGCATT